AAGAATATTTCAAAAGAAGAGATTTTGGAAATAAAGGAGCAAAGAGAGAGACTTGAACTTGTTTTATTTGCAAGAAGGTGGGCCATATAGCCAATAGTTGTCGGTTCAACAAATTTGGTGAAAGTAATAAGGAATTGGCATGTATGGTTTTTGAGTCCATATTAGCTGATCTCAAGAAAGCTTCTTGATGTCTTGACTCGGGGGCTACGACCCATGTCACAAACACTAAGGAAGGTGACCGTTATTTCACTCTCATGGGGCCAGGACAACAACATATTTATATGGGAGGAAATCAAAAGACTGATGTACTTGGAGTTGTTGGAGATTTTGAGCTGAAACTAAAGAGTGGGAGGACCTTGATCCTAAAACAAGCACTTTATGCTCCTGATATGAAGAATTGCTTGGTTTCGGTTCCTAAGATGTCTATGGCTGAATTCATAACCACTTTTATTAGGGAGAAAGTGGTAGTCAAGAAGGGGAAAGATGTGATCATGACTTGACGACTTGTAGACTAGCTATTTACCATTGAAATAAACGATAACGTTGCTTATGTCTCGTCCCTTAATGAATTAGATGCTACCCTATAGCATATGAGGTTAGGACACATTAATATCAAATGAATGGAACGATTAAAAAGGGACGGGATTTTTCATAATTATAAGGGAGATTTATCGAAAGTGTGCGAGTCTTGTGTGCAAGGATAACTAAATAACGAAAAGTACCACCAGGACAAAGCGTATAGGAAATCATTCATAGTGACATATGTGGACTTATGAATGTGACCACCAAAAGTGGAAAAAGATATTTTATCCCTTTTATAGATGACCACTCGCGATATGGCCATGTGTACCTTATTAATGCAAAATCAGAAGCCCTAGAAAAATTCAAAGAATATAAGGCCCAAGTAGAGAATCAAACCAACCTGAAAATTAAAGTCCTTAGAACGGTTAAAAGGGAGAATATTCATCTGACCTTTTCAAAGAATTGTGCATTGAAAATGGGATCATCCATCAGTACACCATGCCTTATACTCCTGAACAAAATGGTATAGCTGAGAGAAGGAATAGGACCTTAGTGGAAATGATAAGGAGTATGATAGGGCATGCAAATCTCTCATTGGAGTTTTGGGGAGAAGCCGTATTAACGACATGTTACATCATTAATCGGACTGCCACAAAAGCTGCCCCACTTACTCCTAACGAAATTTTCATAGGTCGTACTCCCTCCCTTGAACACCTGAAAGTTTGGGGTTGTTCAACCCATGTCCTTATCCCACATCAAAATAGAACCAAATTGCAACCCAAAACTGTCAAATCCATTTTCATTGGTTACGCAGATCATGGAAAGGGGTATCAATTCTACAATTTTGAAATTGGTACGGTTATTGAAAGCCGCGATGTTCACTTCTTTGAGAAAGAGTTCCTTGAACCAAGGGTGAGTAAAAAACAAGTCAATTTTTATGAGGAGGCCAAAAACAAGGATGTAGTTCGAGACCCTGAACCTGAAACCTCTAAACCAACCCAACCTGTTTTTGAACTCCCTAAAGAAAGTGAACCTTTACCTGAACCAAGACGAAGTAACCGAGTCAATAGACCACCTCTGTACCTATAACATTTTGTCTACCTTGGAGAACATTTTGATAAGGTTGGGGAAGATCCAGATTCAGAATCTAGAACTCACCATGAATCCTTGACCTGTCCTGAAAGGGAATACTGAGTAGAAGCCATGAAAGATGAGTATGCTTCCATTAACCAAAACCATGTATGGGAATTAGTACCCTTACCTGAAAAACGTAAGGCCTTTGGTTGTAAGTGGATTTTCAAGAAAAAGTTGAACTCTGAAGGGAAAATACAAAAATACAAAGCTAGGTTGGTTGCAACCAGAAAGAAGGGATAGATTATGAGGAAAATTTTGCCCCTGTTGCCAAATTTCCATCCATCCGAATCCTTATAACTATAGCAGCTCATTTTGACTTTGAGGTTCATCAAATGGATGTCAAAACAGCCTTTCTAAATGGGGATTTGGAAGAAGAAATTTACATGACCCAACTTGAGGGATTTGAGGAGAAAGGGAAAGAGAACTTTGTATGCAAACTTAATAAATCCCTTTATGGCCTGAAACAAGCATCGCGACAGTGAGACATAAAATTCCAAGAGATTCTTGCTCTTGCAGGGTTCTCTAAACATAATGAGGATTATTGCATATATCAAAAGGTCAGTTGGAGTGATGTGGTCTTTATATCGTTATATGTGGATGATATGTTAATTGTTAGTAGCTCAATTGCCCTAGTATTTGAGATGAAAAATTTCCTTGCACAACACTTTGATATGAAAGATCTTGGAGAAGCTTCATATGTGTTGGAAAGCAGTAAAAAGAATTCTCAAATATTTAAAGGGGATCATGAACTAAGCGCTCACATATAAGGGGGGAACTGAAGTAGCAATAGAGGGATATTCAGATGTAAGCTATCTCGCGGATCCAGATGATGCGAAGTCTACATCTAGGTATGTGTTTATGCTTGGAGGGGGTGTGGTTTCTTGAAAGTCAAAGAAACAAGATATTGTGGTTTTGTCCACCAGGGAATTCGAGTATGTGGCATGCTGTCTAGCAGCCAAGGAGGCTGTGTGGATTAAGAAGTTTCTTAATGAACTTAATTTTCCTCCTGTACGTTGTGAGGCGGTGCGAATTTTCTGCGACAACACGGCAGCTATTTGTATCTCTAAGGAGCATCGTTTTCACAAGAATTTCAAGCATATCAAGCCATACTTCTATCACCTAAGAAATGTGCTGAGATTGAAAGAGATCGAGATCAACTACATATCTACAGATGTGATATGTAAGACCCTCTGACTAAGGGAGTTGTCCCTAATGTTTTTGTAAGACATGTGAGACAAATGGGGATGAGAGAAAGTGGGGAAGAGAGAATGTAAGGCCTTCAAATGCCAAGTGGGAGATGTTGGGTTTATGTGGCCTTAAAGGCCTTATGAGTGTGTAATGAAAAACATTTATTATAGTGGAACATAAACTCAGTGGGAGTGTGGTATTTGCGGATACCGGACTGTGCTTGACGATCGAGGCCAGTCGGTTGGAAAATCCAAGGTACTTGGGTATAAAAAATAAACCGAGAAGGGTTTTTGGGTTAGCCCTTGATGAGATCGGAGCTTATGCCTAGATGAGTGAGCCGAGGGACTGTGTGACCCTTGTGTGTGATGATAGGCCTACAGAGACGGAAGCCAAAACCTCATCCATGTTCCATCACACAACATGCATATAGATAAATCGTTCGGGAAAGCTAGATATCCACCTTTGGGTGAAGCATATGCATGTACGAGAGATACCCCTATACGCCATAGAGCTGTGGTCGCATCAGGTCGTGGTGACCTTGACTTGTCTCTAAGGGAGGACCTGTAATCCACAGACTAGGATTGCGACTCCTTGGCTCATCGACCAGACTTTGGTGACCCGCTAATGAGCCCTTGCTTGGACTGCGGGTCATGGGAAACACTGGGTCGGTTCGATAAAGCAAGTTTGGTCTGTAATCTACAGTTGAAGGTGGAGTATCCCGTGATCGTTGATTGAATTCTTGAACCATATAGATCCACTTACCATCATATTAATTTAATTGTATTCATTTTATTATTAAATTATTTTAGATTTATTATTTGAATTTTTATAAATTATTTGATATTTTATTTCTTATTTTTGAACTTATAAAAATAAAGTTATTAATTTACAAAGTTATAATGTTTTAAAATTCATTTTGTTTAAATTTAAAATATTTATTAAAAAAAGTACATGGGGGCCCATAGTGCACATGGGCCTACCATATGGGTATTAGGTGGGGCCCCACATACTATACGTGGGTGGCACGCCCCTCCCTTGGATACTTTCTCTTGTTGCTTTGTCTTCAAGTTTATTAAATGTGGTAACTATATCTTGTAGCATATGGTCAAATATTGATTAGGAAATATTGACCATATCTTATCTTGAAGGAATATCTTGACTTGATATTGTTGAAATATTCTTATGGAAAATATAAGATGGAATATGCAATTTATGGTATACACTATATCTCTAATAGATTTAATTTATTTAAATATATTGATGGGAAAATGGTTTAAGGAAAAGGGGATAGTGGTTCATGCACCTTCCATAATGTTGATGGCCCATCTATGGAATGGATGGCTCAGATCTCTCACCCCACAAGTCACCTTGATCAACGGCCATATTCAATTTCAAAAAAGAGGCAAACTGTGGGAAACTCTAAGGAAACCCTAGATCTAAATTTCACTATAAATAGGGGTGCTCTCCCCCCATCTCTATACCCCTCTCTCTCTCCCTTAAACTCTCTCTTCCTTAGGGGCCACGCCCCTCTCTCTCTCTCTTTACTCTCTAATTTTCTCTCTCTACTCTCTCTCTCTCTCTCTCCTAAAAAGACCCTAGGGGGCACGCTCCAACATAGAGACTCTCACTCTTTTATGATCTAATCTAAGGGTTGGGAAATTTAGGGTTTGAGCTTAATTATTTTGGAGTTAGGGTTTTTAGAGATTTAAGTGTGGTTACCTAGTTTGTTTGAAATTAGCTTTCCGGTTCGAGATTGGAGCTAGACCGTTGATCCCGCGCCATTGGTTGTGGTGACTCGGTGTGGGGTGTAAAAAGCTCGGTTGAAGTAATCTCCGGCATCTTTTCTTTTAATTGTTTGTTCTTTTATTTTATATTCTCAAGCTTAATATTAGATTGTATGAATGGCATCAAGTAGTTGAGATTTATTTTATTGATGCATTATTTATTTTTGGAATTTCTATTGTTTGTAATAAGACCATCTGTGAGTGATCTTGTTGCCAAAATTATAAGGGGTGATTATTATTTAAAAAAAATAAAAAAAGTTGTATTTCTCAGGCAAAAGATTACATAGGTCTTTCTTTCAACTTTGGACCACTACCATCTTTTTTCCTCTCTTTTACACCTTCCTCCCACACCATTAATACACCTTTATGTTGCTTACCTCATGTTGGCTTCACCATCTTCTTTTCTCTCCTTTTTGATGCCACGTGCCTAGCACTTGGCTCCTCTCTCTCCAGTTGTCCCTCACGCTCTTCCTCATCTTGCCACTTTTCATGTGTCCTATTAAAATATATTATAACTTTTATAAATAGTTTTTGTAAGAGAGAATAATAGAGGTACGGATAAGGAAGGATGAGAGAGGAGTGAGAGAGTGAGATAAATGAAAGTATGGGTGAGGCTTTAAGCTTTTGATGAAAACAATGATCTCTCTCTCTCTCTCTAAGGTCATACGTTCTCCCCTCACTAATTTTTGACAGAAGCTATGGACGGTTTTCTCTCAATGAACTTGATGACTATCTCATGGCATCATGAAGTGAATGATGAATTTTGTACGGTTTTCTTGCTCTGATGCGTGGCTTTGTTGTCATTCGGTAAGTTTTTGAACTTAATATAATTTTATACAAAATCTTTCCATGTGTTATGTACTCGATCGATGTTTGTTTTATACCGATTGAAAGATTTTTTAGTGAGAAGATGTTCCCAATTGATGTTTTACTGTAGTATACCAGTTGGATCATAATTTTTGTAGTAAGAGAGAAGTTTATTTCCAATTGATGTTTGTGTTATCATACCAATTGGAAAGACATATCAGCTTTTTTAGACTGTGCTTTTGTACGGATTTCATGAGTGTGCAACTCAAGGACTCAGGAATTATTTTCTGATCTGGCTGAATCTTGGGAGTATACTCGCGGGGACCCGTTTGCACCTCAGAATTTATCGAGATAGGGGCGTTTAACACTTCGAAGAAAACGAGAGCATCTTGTGCCTCCAGATCTCCTGATTTTGGGTCCCATTTTTGGGAGTTCATGTCCACCATGATGTTTGGTGAACTGCGGTGAGACCCTAAACAACCAACAATTTTGAAGTGTTAAATGTGGTTACTTGTGGAGATGTCTACTGATGACTTGCTAACTATAAGAACCAAGATTGTGTAAGGCCAGATCCTAGATATTAACTATCAGTCGGTATAACCTCCAAATCTGGCTTCGATTCCTCCTGGAGTTCGACTAGTACTAGGAGTGTTTTGTTATTATTTTGGCACTTTCCCGGACAAAGGGAGGTGCTGTCGAATTTTTTTGAGAATAAGGACAGTGAAAACTGTATATGGTACCATCCTCAGTTAATGGTATCCACCATCAGTCAGGTTATTCACCGTCAGTCAGTGGTATCCACCATCAGTCAGGCTATTCACCATCAGTCAGTGGTATCCACCCTCAGTCAGGCTATCCACCCTCAGTCAAAGCTATCCACCCTCAATCAGTGGTATCCACCGTCAGTCAGGCTATCCACCGTCATCCAGGGGTATCCACCATCTGTCATGTTATCCACTGTCTCTCAAGACATCAATTTTGGAGTGTTGATCCACGAGATGACTGTTGGAAGATCGCGGAAAGTAATGGATGTTGTAAGGCCAGATCAATTTTGATAATGCACACCATTTAAGATGGCAGTAGAGTTTCCAATTTCTTTGTAAATTGGAAAGTGTGTTATGTACAGACCATTGGAGTGTGCCTGCTTGCCATGTATTTGTTGATTTTATGGTTGATCCGGTCACGCACAGATTTTCTGCAGGCTTCGAAAGAAGCAAAGGCCTTAGGCTTAAGTGATCGATGAATTTATTTTGCTATGATATCTGATGACAATGTAGTAGGGGATGGACTGAAGTGTCACTAGACATGATTTCAAAATTAAAGCTTGATTTCAAGATGAGGAAGGGCATGAGGGACAAGTGGAGAGAGAGAGGTGCCAAGTGCTAGGCACGTGGCATCAACAAGGAGAGAAAAGAGGAGGGTGAGGCCAGCAACATAAAGGTGCATTAATGGCATTGGAGGAGCGGGTAAAAGAGAGGAGAAAAGAGGATGGTGGTCCAAAGGTCCACCAAAAACAAATAAAGACTAAAAGTAAAATAGGTTGTTTTGAAACACTATTATTTAACAAAAAGCGAACAAAGGAAAAAGCCCAAAAAGACATGGATAGAAGTAGTGAGAAAAGACATGGTGATGTTAGTCTTACTGAGGGTATAACCCCTAATAAAAGAAATGTAAACATAAGATTCATGTAACTGATCCCTAAATAATTAGGATAACCCTTAGATGATAATGATGATGAGGATGCTTTGCAAGGATTGGAGGCTTCAATAGGGCAAAAAGCTAGGAGGGTTGGTCTCAAAATTTTGGGTAAATTTCATGTTTCTTAATCTAAAGTTTATAGAATTGACTGTGTATGTGCTTTATGATTTTTTCATAGTTTCAGGACTTTTCTGACCCACTCAGCGGACTTGGGGCAAATTCCCTGAGTAGACTTGGGACTCGCCAAGTCAAATCTAATCGTTCAGGACCCTAGTTCTGCCTATCAGCCAACTTTTCTGATACTGCCTGTTGGGATTCCTTTTCTGCAAGTCTTGAAGTAATTACAGCCCCCAAGAGAATGGATGTACATGGCTTTTTTTATGTAATAGTCTTGCTCTTGCCTGGTTATGACCAGGATAAATATGGTGAGTGCTACTTGAACGATCCCGTACATAAACTATTATAGTTATGGGAGAGATATGATAGGGTTTGTCAATAATAGTTATTATTGCAAATAACTAATTCTAATCCTTTTTTTTACGAGATCGAAACTTTTTCAGGGTTCCTGGCCATGTTTCTTCTAGCTTTTCTTTGCTTATCATGCAGATAGCTCAGCTACCTGACTGCCCAGGGGAGGGAGATCCATCAAAAATTAAGTTGGTCATGTAACATCCCGCCCCCCACCCCTCCCCGCCTTAAACACATACCGTGGATCTTCTTAAGAAGACCCAAAACCTTTCCTTTCGTAGGCAACATATAAGTGAGGCAACACCAATGCAAAGTAGATACATCTCTATTCTGCAATACTTCTATTGCGGCCATCATTATGTTGCACTGACCCAGCCCCTTACGACCTGCAGAGTCGAATATGGAAAAGGTATGAGGGTTATGAAGTAGAAAGTGGATTTTTCCCACTGCTGTGGACAACCAGTACCATGATGCTGGACAAGTTGAATTAGTCGAATCAGCTTAATGGTCAAGATGTATGTTGTTATTTTTTGGCAGGAAAGTGGCTATGGGTTTGTCTAGATGTTCTTTGCCATGCCTTGTCCCTCTTGAGTATGATTCTCTGTGCAAAACCTTGAATTAGAGACAATAATCAAGCCGAAATTAATCCAGACAAATTGTCTTGGTTATTTTAGCCGTTCTTCTCTCGATAGGAACAACAACCAAGGAAATTTAGGATTGGGTCACTCGTATTCAGGGAGATGCATTCGAAGTATTTGATCTTGTAAGAAATCCACAACATTAAGCAAGGTTCACTCTCAGGTTCAGAGGATCACAGTAAAACTTTGCTCTATGAGAAGAATCAGGTTTAGAATATTGACAAATGTATTTTATGCTAACGGGAAGAATTGTCTTTCTATTGCCAAATTCCTTCTTTCCCAAGCCCTTTTTCTCATGTGGATGTAGAAGATTTCGTTTTGAGATTTTGGACCTACAGAAGCTTTTTCTTCTTTTTGGCAGGACTGCAGAGGGAGTTTGATGTAGCGCAAGTGGGGTTGCATTTGCAATACAAAGAAGAGACTGCAAATCCAGTGGCTCTTTCCTAATTAGAGATTTGCATTGGCTGGCAAAAGCACCACCTCTTGGCGCAGTCATATGCTGTTATTCGTTGCCACTTCCACATCTGTTGAGTCCCTTAGAAACCAGAGCTGAATTTAGTCGATGCGAAACATCTTGCCTGGCAAGCATGATCCAGCCGAGGTAACAGGTTCTTGACCTGGTATATTCATCATATATCTGGTAATATGCAGTTGTGATGTACTTACTAGCTGTGTAGCTTCAGTACTCCATAAATATTATTGTATCGTAACATGTGCCGACACTTAGACATGTGTTGACACAAACTGTAGAGTGGTTTTATTGTTTTTATTTACGTTGACACTTCTTATAGAAGTGTAAAGTATTGGGTTTAGAATCACGAAGTGTAAAGTATTGGGTATTGGGTATTGGGTTAGAATTTTAGTTATTGGGTTAGAATCACGAGGGAGCTTTTATTGTCGGGCTTAAATTTTAGTTATATTAAATTCAGGCGGTTTAAAATAAATGGAGCCCATGATCTCTTGAAGAGGTATAGTTTGCTCAACCACTGTAGGCAGCGTTCTTGTCACTGTATAAGATTTACAAATGTTCTATTATATAATATAAAAGTATTATTTAATGTAAAAATACAAGGTAATCCTTGAGGTTCGACCCATCTGGGAGCTTATAGGTGGCAGTGAGCTCACTACAAAAACATAACTTTATGTTAAGAATGCCTTTATTTTTTTATATAAACCTTTTTATTCTAAGATTACTATTTATACTGACACATCTTCTCACATTGGGTTTTTAGAAGAACTAACGGTTAGTACCTGTAGACAATTTACACTTTGTTAAAATTGTTAAAGTGCATATTTTAGAAATTGTATTAGTTTTTATTTTATTTTATTTTGAATGATGTTGGGAGATTGTATTTATAATTTGGTGTAGTAAGAAGTTATGGAACTACTAGGTGGTTCGTAGTTTTTACCCCTTTTTTCAAAAATTTGTTTTTCTTCCACTTCATTTTTATTTTCTTATTCTATCTCTTTGGTTGTGTGTCTTAGGTTAATGTGACATTGTTATACTAATTGAGAAGCAGAGCCACAAAGGTGGTGGTGATGTTTTCTTGACTCATTTAGAAAAGAAAATCGATTGCATTTTTTAAGATGGACTCAAGTGGAAGGTCGAATGATTTTAATGTTGAGTAAGAAATTCAACTCAAGGCATTTTTTTATTTTTCAATTCTTCTTAAAAGTCAATAATCTTCGTTCAAAGATCTCGGTTGTTGATCCCGACAAACCTATTTCGGAGGCATTAATGAGATGGCACATCATTTGTGGGTTAACAAGGGAGTCTATTTCATATGCTATTTTTATTCAAAGGTGGATTATGCAATCATCTTTGGTGGAGTTTGAGAATCTCCTTGGTAGCCTGTCAAATGACTAGATTTTCAATTTCAGGAAGTGATGGAGATGATCATATAACACTTAAAAAGATAAGTATGATCTCCTTTTTAGACACCACTTTAACCGGGAGTATTAAAAATTTAAAAGTGTATTTTCTAGAAATTAGCTTTTATTTTATTTTATTTTGAGTGTAATGACGTTATATTTGTAATTGTACAAAAAAAAAGTTATGAAACTAATAAGTGGTTAGTAGTTATTGTTGTAAATATGTAATTATTGTTATAAGTAGGTAGTTATTGAAGTAAATTTGGTTGTAAGAATCTCTATTTAAATAGTGGTATCGTGGGAAAATTGGGTTTCACATATCAAATTTGTAATGTTTTTATGTATGGCATTTTTTATTATTGAATGAAAAGTTGTTTTTTTCTATTCTATCTCTTTGCTTGTGAGTCTTGGGCTAATGTGACATTGTTATACTAATTGAGAAACGGAATGTTCAGTACTATGACATTGGACAAAAGAGATAGAAGAAGAACAATCAAAGATGAGATGGAAGAAAACTAAAAAACTAACTTTTCATTCAATGATGAAAATAGGGTACTAAAAAACATTACAAATTTAATACATGAGATCCAATTTTCTCATAATACACCACTCTTTAAATGAATGTTCTTGCAATCAATTTTACTACAATAACTACCTATTTACAACAATACCTATTAACCACCTAGTAGTTCCATAACTCCCTATTATATCAAATTACAAATATGAATTCACTAGATCATTCAAAATAAAATTAAAAACAAAGCTAATATGATTTCTAGGATATGCATTTTTAATAATTTAACACAAAAGTGATTTTCTCTAGAAATATGATCAAGTTTAGCTCTTGAGTGCGATGCAATCATTTCATTACCTTTCGAAATGAAATTTGGTAGGCCAAACGATTGTTGTGGAGTAAGAAGAATTTCAAACCTACCAAAGACGGTTGTTTATATCACTCTTGAATAGAAGTAACATAAAGAATATAATCTCTTTTTAACCTACAAATGATGTGTCATTTCATGCTTTCAAAATTTGTTCTTTCAGATCAAGAAGAGAGATCTCTGATCAAAGATTTTTTATCTTTAAGAAGAATAAGAGAAGAAGAAGATCACTTTAAGTTGAGTTAGTAAACTCAAAACTAAAATCATTCGACATTTCACCTAAATCCATCTTTAAAAGAAAACAATCAATCTTCTTCACCAAGGGAGTCAAAAATATCACCACCACTCTTGTGGCTCTAATACCATGTGGAGAAAAACAGATATTGCAATAGCTTGAATAATCTATTTTTCAATTAGTGTAACAATATCAGATTAGCCCAAAACTCACCACCGTAGAGAGAGGAGAAGAACAATCAAGATGAAGTGGAAGAAAAATAACAATCAAGATAAAGTGGAAGAAAATTAATTTTTTATTCAATAATGAAAAATGCGGTATGGAAAAGCATTACAAATGTGGTATATGTGACTCATTTTTTTCATCACATCCCTCTCTTTAGATAGAGGTTTTTGTAATCAATTTACTACAATAACTATCTACTTACAACAACTTATCATTTATAGCAATAACTACCAACCACCTATTAGTTTTATAACTTTTTATTATATAAATAAAAATTAGATAAAAAACAAAGTTAATATGATTTTAAAAAAATACATTTTAATAATCTAAATTAGATAAAAAAACAAAGCTAATGTGATTTTTAAAAACTACAACACTTGTGTAGGTGTTTACGTAGCTAATAACCCTATCGAGTGATCAGCTTATGAGTATCTTTAGGAATCTGAGGTTGGTGGGTCCAACTAACCTCAGGTACCGACCTATGTTTCTTTGTTTAACGTGCTTCTTGATTCTCTTTATTGGTCATTGTCACGTATGGGAGTGAAGGCTGGTAACATTTGATTAGCTTCTATTCTTGTCTCAAGGTATATTTTTATGGGGAGAATGATCTCCCTTGCACTTTCGAGCAACTTGTAGATTTATGGGAAAATATCAATAAAATCGTACCACCTCAAAATCTATTTTATTTAATTACCATCTCAAGATTTTCTCTTTCTTTTTTTTTTAAGGCCCCATATTACCTTTTTCTAGGTTTGTAACTTGAACATGTGAGGGTATTTTGGTAGGAATCTTTTAAGCCACTTGAACTAAATTGACCTGACAAACCGTTATACATGCTTATTTTATTAAAACATATTGTTCTAGATTTGGAAACCTCGAAAACCGTTGAAACTTTTGTAATTTGACCTTGCTTAAGTCATTGTACCCAAAGATGTAAATACCCTTGCTTGAAAACAACATTTTTCCGATTTAGAACCTAGAACAACTACAAGGTATTCAGGACATTTGTTTGAGTTAACTTATGTGTTACCAAGTGCTCTTGCTTTTTCAAGGTTCTAAGCCGACAATACGAGTGATTTAGGTAATGTTTTGACAAGTATTGAGCATTGTTTGGGTGTATGATCTTTGTATCAGGACATATTACATGGCGTCAAACCAGTTTGACCAAATGTGGGTTATAGGATTGGATAATACAGTGGCCATCCTACCCCTGTAACATGGGATTGAAACCCTGGGATGGACATCGGGATCAATATTATCAGGATCAGACCGACCACCGCATTGATGAGGGGTTTGGTTGATCCAAAACTAGTCTACCATTGGACAAATCGGTTACACTGGATTTTAGAAAAAAGGAAAAAATTTGTCCAACTTGATTTAGTTAGCCCAACTGGTTAAAACTAGCTGATCCGATTGGTCAAAATTGATAAAACATTAGTTTTTATTAGTTTTTGACGAAACTAAGTTTTTATTGTGGATCGGACCGGTCAGCGGTCTGATCAGTTGGACCACCAGTTTGTTACTCTCTTGATAACTATGACTGAGACTGTGTATACCCACCACTGCACCAGTCACATAGGCAGATGTCATACCTACCATTGCTGTTGGAACTCATTGGAGGCCATCATAACAGTTTTAGGTAATAATTAAATCATGAGGATTCTTGTAAGGGAGCGGTTTCTATATGGTTGCAACTTTAAACAATCCAATCAATGTGCAACTTAAAATTTTATCATAACATGTAATTTTGTTATAAAAAATTCTTAGCATTAT